TTTTTTTCTGTGTTAACATTTATACTTTAGGGTTAAAAGCTAAATGTCTTAAGTACGAAGTTGATAAAACTCCGGACTTCAGATTGAATTGATTTAACGTACTTAGGACTGTGTCTTTCTACATTTTCTCTCTCCTTTATTTTCTATCATGTTTTTTAGTTGAGCATGACTGGTGTGTTAGTTGCATGCTATATGTGGTGTGCTGTGTGTTTTATGGCATTTTATTTATACATTAATATCAGATAATTTTCCTGAAGGTAGGTATATGTTTTATGTAGTGCCAAATTTTACGCAAGGATATTGGGTAAGATTATCTACAGAATGCATGTCATGTGGTAATTATTAACAGAACACAAAAGTGTGCACATTTGGTTTTTCGTTTTCTGAGTGTTCTGAATTTTAATTTCTAACTCTTTTTTGTGTCTTTAGTATTATATCTTTGCCTTAGTTATGACTTGGATATTCTGTTATAGTTAATTCAATTCAGTAAGTATTTTTTAAGAACATTGTTGTAAAATTATATTTAAATGGGACTCATAGACTAAAGAGGCTACACTAGTCAGACTGCTAACAATATTTTATAATTTCTTAAATATTACTACTTGAATTACCCTGAATCACACAATTTAGAAAATGAAAATACTCAGAATTTGGGTGTTGTCACCCTCCTAAAGTTGCAAAAGTGCTTTTGCTTAAATTTCTATGATGGTAATTTTAAAATGCCTTATTATAACATGAAAGATAATTTCTTGGTAGAAGGTAAAGTCATCTTTCTAAAGCTTAGGCCTCTGAAATAAGGGTGTCCTTCCTTGGTTAAAAAAATAATGCAATTTAAGTTTCTAGGGCCTGAGGTTTGCCCCTTTTATAACATTTTCTAAAGTTTCTCTTTAAGGGTCTAGAAGTTGTAGGTACATAGGGAGGAAATCCAGTGTTAGTTTCCACAAGATTGAAATTGAGATGCCTTTTATTTCCTGTGGTACAAATACATACCTATAGGTATATAATGTTATTTTTCCACTTTGTTCCTATGGTATTATAAATATTATAAATACTCTGAAACACAGAATGCACCTAGAAAGAAAATGTTAATTTCTAGACCAGTGGTTAAAATCAGCAAAAACCTCCCCCGACCTTAAAAAAAAATCTTATTAGCCTCCAGGTTTCTAAAACATCCAGAAGTAGAGCTGCTTTAAGGATAGACAGCTCTGGTACAAACAGCACCGCCCCACTTGCCCCCTTTGCCTGCACTGGAGCATTTCAGGGCACTGAAGAACACATTTCAATAAGTGATAATAAGTAGCTAGGTAAAAGCTACTTTGAAAAAGTTGTAGATATGCTCGTTGTTTGGGCATGCATAGCGAGCGGTGTTTAGACCTAGAACCTCGTCCACACTGTTTTTCCAGAGGCAATAATTCAAGTCCCAGAAAGATTAAATGACACCTGAATTACACATGTTAATGGTTGAGAGGAAACTATGTAAGTGTCCTTGCTGCCTCAGCCACAGAAAGTGTTGGTCACCTGAGACTTAGACTCCAATCTCTGTGCCCTTACTTTCTGCCTTTCTCTTTATCCCATGTAGACAAATGGCTCCTGGAAACAAAGTAAAACAAAAGGTATTCATATTGGGTTTGCTTATCAATTTTTACCCTTAAATATGTAAACTTTATCTTCATTTTCTTTGATGCTTTTATTTGTAGGCAAATAAACACTAAACATTGTTTTCCATGTTGATTCCATTTACAGAACATCATAGGATTCTTTGAAAAACACATTTAAATGTGTTTTATGTACTTATTTAAAATAAGCACTTTCCAGAGAATTGTTTATCCCGTAGGTTATTATAAGTATGATTTATGTACAGATTCTCTATCATTATTATTTAAAAATTATTTAACCCATTTATGCTGAATTTTTGCATGTTCTTAAAACTTAAGACAACTTTCTAGTGCTACCTTA